GTACTACTATTCATATTCGCAGTAGTCGCAGTACTCATACTACTACCACTATACGACTACAGTAGGATTCGCATTGCGACGATAACTACCACCACAGTACTAGTAACAGTAGTAGTCGCAGTAGTAGTACTAGTTCTACTACTACAGCTGCGAGTTCTACTCCTACTACTTCTACGACGACTACTACTACTACCACTGTTACCAGCATTACTAAGACTATCATTGCTACTACTACTGCTACTGCTCCTACTACTACTACTACTACCACTACTACTACTACTACTACTACTATTTCTACTACTACTGCTAGTATTACTAATACGGCGACTACTACTGTTACTACTGTTGTTCCTACTACTACTACTACTAATACTAATACTACTACTAGTACTAGTACGAGTACTACTACCTCTACCACTCCTACCACTACTACTACTACTACTACTACTACTACGACTACTACTACGACTACTACTACGACTACTACTACGACTATTACTACTTCTGCTACTACTACTACTACTACTACTACTACTACGACTACTACTATTGCTATCCCTAGTAGTAGTAGTAGTAGTAGTAGTAGTAGTAGTAGTAGTAGTGGTACGACTACTACTACCACGGCGACGACGACTTCTCTTACGCTCACAACAACAACAACTATTACCAATACTACTACTACTACCATCACTACTACGACGACGACTACTACTTCTAGTACTATTACTACTACCACGACTAGGGAATCTATTCTTACGACTACTCCAACACATTGTTAAACACATGTGTGGTCCCATTGCCACTGTTTAACTACTACGACTTCTCGCGGGTGGGGGATCTATATATATATATATACATGCACATATTCATCTGCATACATATATATGTATTCATCTCTATATATATACACATATATATACACATATATACATATCTACATATATCCGTGAGGGCATCGCCCCATGCCGCCGGCCCCATGTATCGAATAATGGGAGATGAAAAGCTAATAATGAGGTCTGGGTGCCGCCGTGAAGCAGTGTCGGGACTTGTTTGTTTTTGCACCTCTGACCCCGCCGATCTGCGTGAGGGGTGCCGCCGAAGTTCAGAAATGTCGCAAATCGCATGTGTTTTTGCACCCTGACCCCGCCGATCTGCGTGAGGGGTGCCGCCGGATTTCAGAAATGTCGCAAATCATTTGTGTTTTTGGACCCTGACCCCGCCGATCTGCGTGAGGGGTTCGACCGAAGTTCAGAAACGTTGCAAATCGCATGTGTTTTGGCACCCTGACCCCGCCGATGTGCGTGAGGAGTGCCAGCGAATTTCAGAAATGTGGCAAATCCTTTGTGTTTTTTTTTGACCCTGACCCCGCCGATCTGCGTGAGGGGTGCCACCGAATTTCAGAAATGTGACACATCCATTTTGTTTTGGCACCCTGACCCCGCCGATCTGCGTAAGGGGTGCCGCCGAGTTTCAAAAATGTTGCAAATCCCTTATGTTTTTGCACCCTGACCCCGCCGATCTGTGTGAGGGGTGCCACCGAATTTCAGATCTGTGGCAAATCGCATATGTGTTTTTGGACCCTGACCCCGCCGATCTGCGTGAGGGGTGTCAATTTTTACCCACCCCAGCATGTCAGAGCACACGCTCAGGGCGTGGTAAAAATGCTTGTTTTGGGCCTCCCCCCCTCGCGCAGTCCATCAACAAGGAACAGGCAGCAGCAAGAAGTCAACAAGGAACAGTAAGCAGCAAGAAGCAGAACTGTAACAGTGGAAACTGGAAGCTGCAACTGGTACAGGAATCTTGAACCTTGGCCCTACAGCCCGGTGGCCCCACAAGTGAGCCGACGGATATGTGTGTATAGAGAGAGAAATGTAATCGCCGTTCCGCGGTGCTAATGTAACGCTCCGCGCGGGGCGGGGGCCAAACCTTGGGGTGGACCACCCCCGAGGACGGCCGACGAACATCAATTGCCCATTGGGTTCTGTAATAAGAGTCGCCTCGCCCTCAAGCCTTCAATCTCGTGCCATATGTTTAGCACAAACAAAGGAATGCGCGTGGCGCCAAGACGAGAACCACATATTCAGAACGAGCCGCCCTCAATCCGTGAAACTCGTGAAACGTTTATGAAGAATGTGCGTGGCGCTAGGGCGAGTACATTTTGGAAACGAGCCGCCCTCAACCTGAGAAGCCCGTGACAACTTCCAGAACGAATGTGCACGATGCTGGGGCGAGAGCTGCATTTTGAACGCAAGCCGCCCTCAATCCGTGAAATCCGTGCAATTAATAAAAACGCATGCGCGCGGCGCTCAGGCGAGAGCTGCATTTTGAGAACGAGCCGCCCTCCATCCGTGAAGTTACTGCAGCTTGTTTAAAGCGCATGTGCGCGGCGCTACGGCGAGAGCTATTTTTTGAAAACGAGCCGCCCTCAATGCGTGAAGCGCGTGCAAATGTTTGAAACGAATGTGCGCGGCGCTTTGGCGAGAGCCGCATTAGGAAAGCCAGCCGCCCTCCATCCGTGAAGCTCTTGCAAATATTGGAAACGAATGTCAAGGTCCTTGGTAGATGTCGGTTGCGGGGGGATAAAGTTATTGGTTCTTTGTTGTTCGGCGCGGTGTTGAAGTTATCGTTCTGCTAAATTTCCCCCCTGGAGGGTATAGATATCGGTGCGGTGCTACTGATAACCCTGGGAGGTTCTTAATTATCCTTTCTAGGGAATATGTTTCGTGTCCCTGGGCCCCTTCCTCATGACACTTGCGGCTGCGCTCAGGGGGACACACCTTGAGAAGGATGGCGGTGGTCCGTCGTGGCCTTGGACCCCGAGGACGGGGGTGGGGGACGAGAAGGACGAGTCGACGGGTGGCGCCCGCAGCACCGCTCTGGCGATTTTTTCCTTATTTGTTACTTTCCAAGGGCTCCCCCGAGGGCGCGAAGTTATTCGCGCTTCGCGGTCCTCGTTTCTCCTCCACCTCCTCCTCGTCCTCCTTTTGTCCCTTTGGGGGGGCGGCGCGAGAGCGCGAAGTTATTCGCGCTTCGCGCTTCGCGGAGCGCGAAGCGCGAAGTTGGGAGCCCTAGTTTTCCGATCGGCGCGGACCTTCGCACCCCTTTCCCCCCCATGGGGTAGATCTTGGCTGGTTTTGGTTCTTGTTCCAAGCAGGTGGAGATCCCCCGTAGAACCCATTGTGGCAAACAGTCGCATTAAGCAGAGGTCCAGAGCTCACCAGTAACATTACGGCGCCAGTTGCCATTGGAGGGTGCCGAGGCCCTCCCTGCGGCCCCTCGGCCAACGAAGACGGCCGTATGGAGGGGTGCCAACGTACCTCCACAACTCCGACTTCAAGACCCTGAGACGCCAACTGCCACCATCCAGCGATTTCCCCCTTCCGCCCAATGTCGAGACGCCGAGAAAGAAAACGGTCACCTGGCGCCGCGGCGGGCCGGAACGACCGACCCGCTGCGCCCGTCGGGGTCGGGGGCGGCTCTTGGCCGCGTGGCCGCGAGGCTCTCGGGCCTGCTCGTGGCTCCCATCGGCGGCCTTCCCGCCTCGGGATATGCCTTCCAGCAGCTGCGCCTCGTCGGGGGGCGCATGGGGGTACCCGGATCGCCCGGAAGGGCCGCTGGAGGCCCGGGGGGCTATTAGAAATCCCTTAGTATTATTATGGAACCCCATCTCAAAAGCCGGACCCCCCCTTTCAACGGCAGCCCAGTTTTCTGGACCCCCCTGTCAACGGGGGGCATTTATATTCCGGGCCCCTTCTCGTCTTCCGTTTCAGGAAGGCGCCCTATTGAATAGGACCCCCCCGCTTCTAAAAAAGGCGCCTTCAAAAATGGGACCCGGGGGACGATTCTTAAAGGATGTCGAGTAAGACCCGAAGCAAATTGTCTTGCCCCAGAAATGAACAGAAACGGTACCTCCATATCACTACGCTGCCCTGGCTTGAAAGCCGGCGCGTCCCTCTACAGGGGGAATATTCAAAAATAACTCCAAAAATAGTCCGGGGACGATGCTTTTCATATCTTTGAGCATGCTTGGGGTGTTTTCTTTAATTTCGGGGGAGCGTAAGACCCGGGTTTGCCAGGTTTCGGGTTCGCCATCGTTTTTTGACGACCGTGCCTCGGATTTTGACGAGGAGGAGTTTCGTGGGATGTCTGCAGCGGGAGGCCTCGTCAAAATGCAGGCTCGGCCTCGTCATTTTTTTGACGACCTCGTCGGGGATTTCCGAGTCCACTGTGCCCAGGTCTTACGTCCCCCTGATAATTGTTCGTGCAGAATCCGCCTGTAGAGGGACATGCCCGACCTAACCCTGGCTTCCTTGCGGTAGCTCCATGGCCTCCTGGGAGCCCTTCGTCGCCCCGGCTTTGTGTCAAGGTACTGGTGCCGCCGCCCTGGCCTCGTTTTCGCCGTTGTGGGCCTCCTCCTCCTCCTTCTCCTCCTCCTCCTCCTCCTCCCTCCTCCCTCCTCCTCCTCCTCCTCCTCCTCCTCCTCCTCCTCCTCCTCCTCCTCCTCCTCCTCCTCCTCTCCCTCCTCCTCCCCTCCTCCCTCCTCCCCTCCCTCCTCCCTCCTCCCTCCTCCCTCCTCCCTCCTCGTTTTCGCCGTTGTGGGCCTCCTGGGAGGCCCTCGTCGCCACAGCCAGATTCGCCGCGAAGTCCCAGTCAGCGCGCACCCCGGGCGAGGTCGCGTGAGCAGCAGTGCCGGTCCGGTGGATGATCATGATGATGTTGTTGTTGATGATGATGATGATGATGATGATGATGATGATGATGATGATGATGGTGATGAGGAGGAGGAGGAGGAGGGAAAGGAGGAGGAGGAGGAGGAGGAGGAGGAGGAGGAGGAGGAGGGGATGAGGAGGAGAAGATGGAGGAGGAAAATGGTGGAGGAGGGAGACGGGAAGGAGGAGGAGGAGGTGGTGGAGGAGGAGGAGGAGGAGGACGAGGAGGACGAGGAGGCAGATCGGGGAAGAGCGTCTCCGCTGGTGGGCCTCGGGGCCTGCGCTCAGGAGCGGGAGCTGGACCCGCGCCCGACGCCGCTGAGCCACGACATCGGGACCATCTGCGCCGGGATGGCCGCGAACGCAAAGGTCGCGGACCCCCTTCTGCGCGGCCGTGCCCCTGCCCCCGCCTCCGCTCGCCCCCCCTCGTCGCCTCTGCCCTCGCTCCTGCGTTTCTCCATCTTCTTCCTCCTCCTCCTCCTGAGGAGGAGGAGGAGGAGGAGGAGGAGGAGGAGGAGGAGGAGGAGGAGGCGACGAGAGGAGAAGAGAGGAGGAGGAGGAGGAGGACGAGGCGTTGGAGCGACGAGGGGGAGGAGGAGGAGGAGGAGGAGGTGGAGGGACAAGGCGGGAAGTTGAGGGGGAGAAGGGGGGATGAGCGGGAGGAGGAGGGGGGTGAGGGCGACACTGGGGCCTTGGACCACGTGCTTGGCTGGGGAGCTTTGTTTTGGAAGCAAGGTAAAGGTCAGACTAGTACACTTCACTTGGTGCAGACCAGGCCATGGCACGGCACGTCAAGGCAAGTCAGCGATAGTGACGCCATCGCGAGTTGCAAACAAAGCGTTAGCCATGTTACCTCGGGATAGTGTAGCCCGTCCCCCCGCTTTCGTCTTCCCTCCCTTATCCCTTCCCCCTCCTTCCACCTCCCCATCTGTCTCATCTCCCCCTTTCCTTTTCTTCTTCTGAAGATGTCCCTCCTCGCCCTTCCTGCTCCTCCCTCGTCTCTGCCTCCTCGTCTGTCCTCCCTCCTCCTGTTCCTGTGCCCTGCTGTCTTCTCTCCTCCTGCCCCCCTGCTCCAGACTTCCGCTGCCCCAGCCACCTTCTCCGACGGCCGAGCATACCATGAACACATCTCCTCTCGAGAAGCTGGGCCATCGTTAAGTCGGGCCTGTCCTTCTACAGGGGGAATATTCAAAAATAGCTGTTTTGTTTTAAATGATTATTTGTTGAGTATGTTGTTGACCATTTTGGAGTATGTTTGGAGCATATTTTATTTTTCGTCGAAAATCCCCCTGTAGGGGGACACGCCCGACTCAAGGCCAGCGTCTCCTAGCCAACTTGCAAGAACGCCGGCCCAGCTTCTTGAGAGCACGCCCGCCCCTCTCCAGCGTTAAGAGCAGGAGTTGGCCCGGGCGGGTTTTTGTTGAACAGCTTCTGAACAGCCGGCCCAGACTTCTCGAGGGATTAACATCTTGCTCTTGGTCTCGGCTGTATTGACCTTTTTCATCCCTCCTCTTGTTCTTCCTCCTCTCCATATTTCCCTCTGCTCCCCATGCCATCATCATCCTGGATCGCGCATACCCTAGGCAAGATTAGGAGGCTGTGCGGAGCGTGCAATGGGTCCACCACTTGAGCTACCCTGTCCGATTGGCCAGCAAGCGAATGTGCCCTCCTAGCTCGGAGGAGAAAACAGGTATTCACACCGCTGCCTGGGGAGAAGAAGGTACTCACGCCGCTGCCCTTCGCCTGTTCTTCACATCTTCGACCTGGGAGGCCCTCGCATTCGCTTCGGCATTCGGGGCAGATGGCACCTTGAGAGAGTCCCAGGGAGGGGCGGGGAGGCGGGGCGGGGAGGGCGAGGAGGGGCGAGGGCGAGGATCGGGTTGGGCGGAGGGCGGAGGTTCTCCATCCTCCCGGTTCTTCCTCCTCCTCCTCCTCCTCCTCCTCCTCCTCCTCCTCCCTTCCTCCTCGGCCTCTGTCGCCCCTTGCCAGCGAAATCGATGAAGAGGTGGAGCATCGCCTGGTGTTCCTCACTGAGCACCTCGGTATCGTGGCTATCCGTCGTCCCCCCCACTTTAGGCTGCGCGGCGGACGCCCGCATCGGCCAGACCCCGCTCCCCCAGGGGCTGAGGTGCAGGGTCCGACCCACAGCCTGAGGGCACATCCGAGATCATCCTCTGTCGCCCCATCCTCGCCAGCCATCCTGGGGCCGGTGGGTGGCAGAGTGCCTCGGGTCCCGACGGGGGCGCCCTGGTGCATGCCGCCGGAGGTTGGGCCCACGCCTCGCACGCCCGCGCACAGCGGCACGGCGCTCCGGCAGCCGGGTCTGCCACGGTGGCGGCCTTCTCCTCCTCCTCCTCCTCCTCCTCCTCCTCCTCCTCCTCCTCCTCCTCCTCCTCCTCCTCCTCCTCCTCCCTCCTCCTCCTCCTCCTCCTCCTCCTCCTCCTCTCCTCCTCTCTCCTTCCTCCTCCTCCTCCTCCTCCTCCTCCACCTCCTCCTCTTCCTCTTTCTCCTTCCTTCTCCTCCTCGTCCTCCCTACCTCCTCCTCCTCCTCCTTCTCCTCCTCGTCCTCCTGAGGTCCAGCTCAGAGGATTCGAGACAGGCTGTGCCAGCGGCCAGCTTTTCCGAAGCTCGCTGTGGCTACATGAATGCATGGCTGCGCACGACCACAGCTTCGCGAAGGCTGGGCCTCGAGTTCCACCAGCAGGGGTGGAGTTTCAGGTCGCTGCGCGGTGGCTGCAGGTGCTGTAAGTGAGAAGTAAGCCGGGTTCCGTTCTGATCGTATCCTCAATGAAATTAGTCCGCGCTCTCTTCTGATCGTATCCTTATTTTCCCGTGTTGCTTTCCTCCGCCTCCTCCTCCTCGGCTTCATCCTGGTGGATCGTTTGGGGGGTGCCCTTGGAGGACGGGGAACTCTTATAGTAGGCGCATCAAGCAAGAAACTTGCCTTCCTGCAGGTGCTCCGTTGGAATTTTTCACCCCCCGATGGCCCCCGGGACCCAGGGAAGCACTTGAGCACACTGGGAAGCTCAATGGCCGACGTCGAACGTACCCCTGGATTTCTTATCGTACGATGCTTTATCCCATGTAGCGGCTGTGCGGCAGCCAGAGCCGACGAGAGGGTCCAAACGGCAGGGTTAGCATCCCAACCCGCCCGACTTGCGACCCGCTCGTGGCCGAGAGCCGCCCTACTTGTGCGATCTCCCCGCGGCGCAAGGGCTGGAGGCACGGTGGCCTCCACGAGCTGAACAGCAACTGGGACATTCTCATGATGAAGACCAGGTACCCGTCCGAGGAGGTCTACGACTTCCAGTGATGGACTGCCAGCCGGGCGGCGTGGAAAAATCGCTCCGCGCGCGCACCCCGCCTGCTGCCCCCTGCGATCCTGGCGTCGCAGCGGTTTCGCAGCTGGCGCTCTTACCGTGTTGTTGTGTAGGGCCGAGGGTCCGAGAGCGCCTTCCTCTGTAGGACCCCCATAAAAAAAGACGTCAAGGTGGTCAAACGCCTCGCCAGTTAAGCCGACGAAGATGTGCAACAGCCAGCCATTCGCCTACGTCCACAGCTTTGGCCTGACGCCGGGTGTGGTGCAGAAGTTTCAGCTTGGCCGAACAGGTTGGTTGCGCCCCTTGACGTCCGCTTGGGGTGTTCTGCGGACATGACCCCTCAGCCCTAGTCAACGCCGTGATGCGGTGTCGGGAACTATTGAGGATCTACGCTGTGCCTTCGGTGGCAAATCATGGGGGCCTGGTATGTATGCCCTCCCAATTCCGTCGTTAGCGTCGGCCAGCGTCGATGATCGTCGGGGAGACGATGAGATCACGCCGACTTAGCGTCGGTTAGCATCGATACATACCGTCGATTAGCGTCGATTTGGCGTCGGCGAGCGTCGATTCTCTAGAGCGGACAGGATGGTATGGGAGGCTCCCGTGAGTTGCCACCGACATCGACTTTGTGCCCTGAGATCCAGGCGTTGCAGATTAGTTACACCTTGGGCTAAATCGGGCGCGTCCCTCTACAGGAGAACTGTCCAAACATAGTCACAGAATAGTCTGGGGGCGATGCTTCTAGTATTTCTGATTGTGTTTGACTATTGTTTTGACTCGCTTTGATTTTCCTTGCAGAATCCGCCTGCAAGAAGGACCTGCCCGACCTAAACCTCGGGCGTGCTCGCCCAGCTTCTGGCCCCCTGCGGCCTTCACGGATCGATGCAGTTCGAGTGCAGTGGGAACCTTTGCCAATACAAACGCCCTCCTCGCCTCCAGGGTGCCCCGGGTGTCGGTTTTTCGATGGTTCTGCTGCGGAAGGCGTGACGCTCCCACGCCAAAAATTACCGGACGTCCTGGGGTCTCAGGGTTGGGTTTCCTGTGGAAGGCTTCTTGTGGTAGAGCTTCTACTGCCAGGGCGCGGAAAGACGGGGTCTGGGGCTCCTGTCGAGTCTTTTCACGATGCTGCAACTTGTTCTTGACGTTGGGTCCCACGGATCGCCACCAGTGCAATGCTCAAGGCCTTAGGACCTCGTTGCCTGACAGCCGCTGCGTCGCCTCCTCCCTCGTGCCTCCTCTCTCCGTCTTTGTCCACCTCCACCGCATCCTCCGTCTCCTCATCCTTTTTCCTCTGCCGTCTAGTTGTGTTTTCGCGTCCCCTTCCTCAGCCGCTTTTGCGTCCCCCTTCTCAGCCCCTCCTGCCGTGCAAATGAAATTTCCCTTCGTTGTCGCACCACAAGACGTATCGGTAGGGCGGTCCCAGCAGTTTGCTGGGAACCCCCCATGCACGACTTATAACCCAGAAGCTTGAAACTGCCATCAGGTGCACTCATGGAGGGCGGCTGGTGTTCTCAATGAAGTTCTCGACTTGGCACAGCGCACATTCGCCTCGAAAGCTTTCAACCGTTTTTTTTGTAAACGAGGCTGTTGTGATGGCTCCGCGCACACCCGTCTTAAACAAGTCCAGCAGTTGCACGGATGGGAGGCAACACATGTTCACAATGAGTGTCTCGCGTCAGCGCTGTTCACAACATGAGCAGAAATTACACAGAAGCAGGTCTGCTCCTGTTCAGACAGGGATCGCCGGCAAATGCACAGTTGGTTTGCATGTTCCAATGTGTTAGCATAAAGGGGGGGCTTGTTCGTTGAGGAATGTGCCCAGGAGGCGTCAGGCCTTGGAGGATTCCTTCTATGATGAGGGCGTCGGTGATGCATATGGCCAATCCACGATTGGAGTTCCATCGGCTTCCAGATCCTGGATTCCTTTCCAGTGGTTCCTTATCCAATGCCCTCAGCGTATCGTCCAGCCAGAAGGATGAAGGGCGGGTCCGCTCCCGAACGGGGCCCTCGCTTGAACGGGTTGCGCATGGTGGCGCTCGTCTGTCCCGGGGCCGCCTCCCGTAGCAAAAGGGAAGATTGCAGGGACTGGTGGTGGGAGCGTGGGGCGGCGAGACATGCTTGAAGCATCGTCGATGCGTCCTGGGCGCATCGTGGTCTTCTTCCTCGTCCTTCTCATCCTCGCCATCCCCCCTCTTCCGTTTCCTCGTTCAACGACAGCGGCGCGTCGTTGCAGCACAGTTGGCCTTGATTAGTAGGTCGACCTTGCCAAAGCAAGAGTATCTTTGCGTCCTGTGGCTCGCAACCTATGCCTCCTACATTCCTATGGCAAGGTGGCCCTCGGAAGGATCTTGCGTCCTCTCGCGTGCCCTGTCCAGTCAAGTCGAGAGTATCGCTGGGCGCGTGCTCGTCGCCCGCCTGGCGCTGACCAGCCAGAGCCATCCCCATGCGTGTTCGCCTTGGCTGCAGGATCCCCCCCCTCCAGCACGGGTGAATGATGACCCGTGTCGGGTGTCAGTTCAAGCGGCATGCCGCCAAACACATACACACACATACTCAGAGGAAACGGCAAAACGCTACGCATCACGCGGAGCTTGGCTATAGGGATAACGGGGAGGCGGCGGCGACGAGGAGGGGACAGTGGACGACATGACATTTCAAGCATTTGCGGTTGACCGACCACGTCCCAACGACTTCAAAAGCTTGGCTCTCGTGCTCTTGGCATTGGGTCGCTGATCCGCGATAGGGTTCGTGAAGATCCTGCGCTGTACCGGAGGCCCGTCTGCCGCTGAGCATTGAAGTATAAGCGCTTGGTTCGCCTTAAATATGCCCAGGGCGTTGTTTTTAGCGTGTTCAGCTCGGCGTCTTGGAAATCATTGTTAACCGTTTTCAGGTCCCAACAAAAAAACTAAAAACGCTAACCACAATAAATGAAGCGTTGTTTAGCTTTTTGAAACATTGTGTTCGCGTGTTCAGTCTGAAGACGCCAAACACATACACAGACAACGCCAACATAACGACCAAACAAAGGCAAACACAACGTAGCGTTTGTTTAGCGTTCTCAGCTTTTTCAAGAGCCCCAAATAGAAACGCAACAAACACGCCCAGGGCGTTTTATACGGCGAACCAAGTAGAAGCGGAAGTGCGAGCATGCGCAAGAAGGGGATGAGGCACCTCGAGCGGGAGAGGCGGTACGGTAGGGCCGTGTCGTGTCGACCGGCGGCGACCCCGCCGCCGGCGTTCAACGTTGAACGCCGCCGGCGGCCCAGAATCGGTCGATGTTGAACGATTGGACGTTGCGGAAACGGCCGATCGTTCAAGGTTGAACGATCCCCGCGGTGTCAAAAACCAACGCTGGGGTCGGCACGACACGAACCTGCCGTAGCACGATGTAGGGGCTGGAGCAGCCTGTGGGGGCAGCAGGGTCTTCACGGCGCACCGGCGCTTGCACTCGGGGTGTCCTCGGGCAGGAGCTCGATCTGCAGCATAGGGGGCCCAGCAGTAGGCTGCACGCGATGGGTAGAGCTTGTAGTCAAGGGCTCCCTCGAGGGCGCGAAGTTATTCGCGCTTCGCGCTTCGCGGTCCTCGTTCCTTCTCCCCCTCCTCCTCGTCCTCCTATTCTCCCTTTGGGAGGGCGGCGCGAGAGCGCGAAGTTATTCGCGCTTCGCGCAGCGCGAAGCGCGAAGTTGGGAGCCCTAGTGTAGTATAATAGGAGCAGTAATTGTCAGCATCAGCAGTCGTATAATGATCTACCCGATGAGGAGTCGCAGGACTGATTTGAGCGGTGCGAGCAGTGGACTCGGCTGGGCTAGTACGGGCAACAGGGGGCACGAGCACGTGCACGTGCAGAGGGGTGGGGGTAAAAGCAGTGGGATCCATGGGGCAACTACTGGGAGCAACAGGGACCTGCCTCAAGGAGTTGGAAAGGAAAGGCAAGGATGTGCACGGTGGGAGCGGCACGAGCGGCGGCAGTAGCGGCGGCGGCGGGTGCAAGATGTGTGTGTGTGTGTGTGTGCGTGTGTGCGTGTGTGCGCGTTTGTGTGTGTACGTGTGTGTGTGCACGGGTGCGTGTGTGTGTGTGTGTGTGTGTGGGTGGGTGGGGGGAGTATGTGGGGCCACAGGAGGCGAACAGCTCACAGACTCAAGCAGGGCTTGACGTGGATATCTTGTCGTCGGCGGCGAGGAAGTGGCAGTCCGCTCCAGCGTCCTCCTCCTCATCCTCCTCTCCAGCGCGTGGCTAATCGGGCCAAACGTCACGCGAATTGTCCGCTGGACATGGAAACATGCAGTCGCCGCTTGCCTTAAGTCGGGCATGTCCCTCTACAGGACGAGTATCCAATAATAGTAACAACATAGTACGTGGACGATGTCTCAACTATGTTGGACCATTGTGGGGTATGTTTTGAGTATCTTCTATGTTTCTTCCGACATCCGCCTGTCAGGGGACATGCCCGACCTTAAGCTTGCACCCTGTGGCGCACTCGACGAGGCACGCCGCGGCGGCCGACCTGCCGACACGTCTTGTTGGGGCGACGAGGGCAAGAAGGTCGTTTGACCACCCACCAGGGCGCCAGGACGGCCCCAGCAACACGCGCGGTGGGAGCGACGGGAGGGGGCCACACTACGAGGAGGAGGAGCCGGAGGGGAGCAGGGATCAGGAGGAGGAGGGGCTGGAGGGGCTGGAGGGGAGCAGGGATCAGGAGGAGGAGGAGGAGGAGGAGGGGGCGCTGGAGAGGAGCAGGGATCAGGAGGAGAAGGAGGAGGAGGAGGAGGGGCTGGAGGGGAGCAGGGATCAGGAGGAGGAGGAGGAGGAGGAGGAGGAGGGGGGGGCGCTGGAGGGGAGCAGGGATCAGGAGGAGGAGGAGGAGAAGGAGGAGGAGGAGGAGGAGGTGGGAGGAGGGAGGAGGAGGAGGGGCTGGAGGGGAGCAGGGATCAGGAGGAAAAGGGAGAGAAGACGAGGACGTGGAGGGACAGGAGGCGACGAGAAGAGGAGGAAGACAAGCCCAGGCACCCGATGCCTTGAATTGGTGCAGAGGGGGCCTCTCCTCCTCCTCCTCCTCCCCTCCTCCTCCTCCTCCTCCTCCTCCTCCTCCTCCTCCTCCTCCCCGAACCCCCCGACCCTTGCCCCAGGCGGTTGTTTCACCGTCCCCGCGCGCGGCGAGGGCCCCTGGAGGCCAGGGAATGGCGGAACGCGTCCGCGCGACTCTTTTGGCGGCGCGAGTCTGGCCGGTCCCTCTACGGGGGGAAGATCCAAAAATAGTTTGAAACAAAAGTCAGAGGACGATGTTCGTACTATTTGTGATATGTTTCATTTGTTTGTTGCGTTTTTTGTTGTTCGTCCCAAATCCGCTTGTCGGAGGACGTGCCCGACCTGGGCATATCTGGGAGGAGGACCCTCAGATCTCACGTTGCAGAAATAGTGCAACATCACAAAACAAATCACCGCCAGAGTCCCGGACTCCATCTTCCTGCGTCCTGCTTCGAGCCAGATCGAATTCTGAGGGTCCCGGGGTGCGACGCAAGGCAAAAACGCCCGTTGCGAAGAAATTGCGACGCCAGGATCTCAGGGGAGGAGGATCGGGTCGGACAAGAGGAGAAGATAATCCCCTGCAGGCAGCTGTCTTCCGCCTGGCCCATCCCTTGATGCATGGACGCTTTCTGGCGACAGGAGGCGCCAGGAAGACATCCTATGTGGGCTGATTCTCTACCTTGCCCTTTGCCATCCCACCATTTCCCAGACATCCGGCGTCTAGATCTATTCTCGATGCGGGCCCCCGACCTCTCGACCACTTCCCCGTCGCCAGTCTCTCGTCCCGCGTCGTTTTTAGACGGCCCGGAGGTCCGGCAAGGGCCCCGAGAGGTCGAAAACGAAACAGCGCACTCCTGCCACGAGTCCGTCGAGACGCCAGACGTCGTGGCCCGTCTCCCCCGAGAGGCAGGGGCCGGGGGGGGCGGCAGGGCCAGCAGGAGCATGCTCGGCCGAACGCAGGCCTCCGGCTCCCAGCGTGCCCGCTCTCGGAAGAACCCCCCCCCCCGGCCGGCGGAGGGCTCGTCCCCTCCCTGTCCCGGGCCGCCGCAGCCGCGGCGACGGCCGAGATTCGATCGTCCCTCGTCGTCGTCGTCCGCCTTCTCCTCCCTCGTCCTCCAGCGTCCTCCCTCGTCCGCCTCGTCCTCTTCCTCCTCCTCCTCCTCCTCCTCCTCCTCCTCCTCCTCGTCGCCCCTCTTTCGTTCTCCCCATCCTCGCAGTTCTCTCCCTGCTCCTTCCCCTCGTTGTTTCGCTTGTCCCCCTCTTGATCCTTCCCCCTGCTCCTCCTGCCGCCTTTTCCTCCAGCTACCCCCTCCCCATGGGCCACTCTCTCTCTCCCTTCCTCACTCCATCCCTCTCTCTCTATCTCCCTTTGTCTCTATTCCCGTCTCTCTCACTCTCTCCCTTGATACAGCGCTCTCTCTATCGATATGTTTCTTGTCTTGTTTTCCCCGCAATGATTTCTGTAAATCTCTCGCTCTGCCTCTATGTGTATACCTACACATCTATAGGTATACCCCTTCTCTGCTTGATATCTATATATATATATGTATATATATATATATAAGTATATGTATACGCAGCACCCCGCAATTGCGGATAAGAGTGAGGGGCGGGCGCGGGCGACGCGGGAGTCGAGCCGGCTGACCTCGTGGCCCTCGCCTTCCTTGTCGATGGCGCCCTCCTCCTCATCATCCTCCTGCTCCTCCTCCTCCTCCTCCTCCTCTTCCTCGTCCGCGTCCTCGTCCTAATCGTCGTCGTTGTGCTCTGACAAGTTCAGCGCAGGGGGGATCGCTGGTGGGCCACCCGCGACCCACCAGCCGCAGGCGCCGAATTTTTGGCTTGTTCAGTGAACGTAGTTTGGGTGGCGGGTGGGTCGCGGGCTCTCAACCTCCACCTGGAACCTATTCAAAAGCAGCCCGCCGCAGGCGCCGAAAATTTTGATGTGTACACTGAGCGCGGTTTGGGTCGCAGGTTCTCCACCTGGAACGAATGTAAAAGAAGCCCGCCGCAGGTGCCGAAGTTTTGACTTGTTCAGTGAACGTAGTTTGGTCGCGGGTGGGTCGCGGGCTCTCAACCTCCACCTGGAAGGAATTCAAAAACAGCCCGCCGCAGGCGCCGAAAATTTTGATTTGTACACTGAACGCTGTTTGGGTCGCGGGTGGGTCGCAGGTTCTCCACCTAAAACGAATGCAAAAGAAGCCCGCCGCAGGCGCCGAAAATTTTGGGTGGGTCGCGGGGTGGGTCGCGGGTGGGTCGCGGGTGGGGTCGCGTTGGGTCGCGGGTGGGTCGCGGGCGCGGTTTGGGTCGCGGGTGGGTCGCAGGTTCTCCACCTGGAACGAATGCAAAAGAAACCCGCCGCAGGCGCCACAAATTTTGGGTGGGTCGCGGGGTGGGTCGCGGGTGGGTCGCGGGTGGTCGCGGTGGGTCGCGGGTGGGTCGCGGGTCGGGTGGGTCGCGGGGTGGGTCGCGGGGTGCGGGGTGGGTCGCCGGGGGTCGCGGGTGGGTCGCCGGGGGGGTCTCGGGGTGGGTCGCGGACGGGTCGCGGGGTGGGTCGCGGGTGGGTCGCGGGTGGGTCGCGGGTGGGTCCGCGGGTGGGTCGCGGAGTGGGTCGCGGGTGGGTCGCGGGATGGGTCGCCGATGGGTCGCGGGGTGGGTCGCGGAGTGGGTCGCGGGTGGGTCGCTGGGCGGGTCGCGGGTGGGACGACGACAGCAACAAACAACAAACAACCACCACCACCACCACCACCAACAACAACAACAACAACAGCAACAACAACAACAACAACAGCAACAGCAACACCAACACCAACAACATCAACAACACCAACAACAACAGCAACAACAACAATAATCCGCATCGGGGATTCCACTGCAGCCACGCACCCAGGGACAGTGAATGACCGCTCGGTTCAGCCCCCCCACTCTGATATATGTGTATATATATACACATGTATGTATATATATATATATATATATATATATATATATATATACGTAGCACCCCGCAATTGCGGAGAAGAGTGAGGGGGCGGGCGCGGGCGACGCGGGCGTCGTCGAGCCGGCGGACCTCGTGGCCCCCACCTTCCCTGTCGATGGCGCTCTCCTCCTCCTCCTCCTCCTCCTCCTCCTCCTCCTCCTCCTCCTCCTCGTCCTCATCGTCATCGTCATCCTCCTCCTCCACCTCGTCCTCCTCCTCCTCCTCCTCTTCTTCCTCGTCCTCCCTCTCCCCCCCTCGTCCTTTCATCATCGTCCTCCCATTGTCGTCCTCCCCCTCATCGGCCTCCATCATCGTCCTCCCATTGTCGTCCATCATCATCATCATCATCATCATCATCATCATCATCATCATCATCATCATCATCATCATCATCATCATCATCATCATCATCCCCTCCTCCCCCTCCTCGTCCTCCTGCTCCTCCTCCTTTTCTTTCTCCACATTCTCCTTACATCCTCTCTTCTTCCGCGTTCTCCTCGTCCCCTGTTTACTCCTCCTGCCTCCCCCTCCTTTCCCAAGATAACTGCAACGCAATCCTTTTTTCCACTTTATGCTCCCCGCCTTCTCTGATCAAGGCAACTCGCCAGGGCAGAGTTCCTGGACGGGCTGGTGTGGATGCGCGGGGCTTGAAGAGGTCCTTGCGGGTTCAGACGGCATGCAACAATCCGCCGCCGCGCTTGTGCGGCATTGGTTTGTTCAGTGAACGTGGTTTAGGTCGCGGGTGGGTCGTGGGCTCTCCACCTCCACCTGGAAGGAATGCAAAAGCAGCCCGCCGCAGGCGCCAAACAAAATGGTTTGTACACCGAACGTGGTTTGGGTCGCGGGTGGGCCGCGGGTTCTCCACCGGGAACGAATGCAAAAGATGCCCGCCGCAGGCGCCGAAAAATGTAGTTTGTACCCTGAACGTGGTCGCGGGTGGGCCGCGGGCTCTCCACCGGGAACGAATGCAAAAGATGCCCGCCGCAGGCGCCGAAAAATATGGTTTGTACCCTGAACGTGGTCGCGGATGGGCCGCGGGCCCTCCACCGGGAACGAATGCAAAAGATGCCCGCCGCAGGCGCCGAAAAATGTGGTTTGTACCCTGAGCGTGGTTTGGGTCGCGGGTTGGTCGCGAGTTGGTCACTGGGTGGGTCGCGGGCTCTCCACTTGGAAACAATGCAAAAAAACCCGCCGCAGGCGCCGAAAATGGTAGTTTGTACCTTGAACGTGGTTTGGGTCGCGGGTGGATCGCAGGTGTGTCGCGGGGTAGGTCGCGGGTTGGTCGCGGGTGGGTCGCGGGTGGGTCGCGGGAGGGTCGCGGGTGGGTCGCGGGGTGGGCCGCGGGCGGGTCGCGGGGTGGGTCGCAGGGTGGGTCGCGGGGTGGGTCGCGGGGTGGGTCGCGGGGTGGGTCGCGGGGTGGGTCGCGGGTGGGTCGCGGGTGGGTCGCGGGTGGGTCGCGGGGTGGGTC